TTTGGTCAGTAATCGTGGCTCGATAAGTTTAAGATAAGACAGATTGAAGATCAGCCTTCCCCCATCAGCCCTTCCGGCTTTGTGCCACATTTTTGTACTTTAAAAATAAATATTACTTTCCTTTATGGAACCTCGACTTTATGAATATAAGGGCTGTACTATATTTGCGGCAGTCCAATCATTTTATTGTTGAAATGGCTAGATGTAACCGTAAGTTCTATGCTAACAGTTTCTTTTATCGTACTCCTTGCTTGTGGAACTCTGTTTCGGCTTCTTGCTTAACGGTCAACTTTAATCCAGTCAACTTCATATTTACTTTTGATCCAACGTGGAGTGAGTAGCCGTGGTCAAATTCAAAATAAGCAGGAGAACTGTCCAAGAAAACAGAATTGACAAAGTTTGTAACGAGCAATCATAATAAGAAGAAAAAGAAAAGAGAGCATAACATAATATAAACCAAGTAAACAATATATGCAAAACAAATCAACAGTAATAAGGCAAAGCAAGAATAATTGGGCAAAAAGTTCAAAATCTAAGAATTGGAATTGAAACACAAAAGCAAGTTCGGGCAAGCGAACGTTGCGTTCTGATTTCAAGACAAGACAGATCCGGACTAAGTCGGATGAAACCGAAAACTAGCCTATTTTATTGGCTAGAAAGAAATCCCAGCACGCATTTCTGTAATTCTGCCTATAAAATGGGTATCGGAAAGTTTTTTTTGAGATATTCCTATTGTTTTGAAATCAATATTCAAAGATTTAAAAGCAATGTCAATCGTTACATTTTGTCTTCTTAATTCTTGTTCTTTAATTGTTCTCTACCATTAAAAGTTTTTTTTTCTTATACTCTCTAACAGTCGGTAATTCCTTGCGTCCTAGTGACTTGCTTGGGGTGAAATGATTAAAAAATACTTGTATGAAATGATTTGAGGTGTTTAATATCTTTGAACGTCTGAGTAGCGTTTATTTCATTGGATAGCTTTACTATATGTTCTATGTTTCAAAATTAAAAATGATTAGTTAAATATCAAACGTTATCAACAGGAAATATTATGTAACATTCCTGTAATGTTTTGTAATTTTATAAAACATTGGCTAAGTTTAGGTTAGTATTTGGTTTTCAATAAATAGCGTTTGGAAACATGATTTCGTTCCACACTTGACTGAAATTGCTGATATATATATATATATATATATATATATATATATATATTATGAAAGGAGACATTTCAACAGATTCGTTTATGGATTGTGTATCTTAAATGTTTTTACGTTAAAAGTGAAAACGGAAGAAAATGAGATTCATTTTCGTTATTTAAATCTTTTATTTCCAGAAACGAGAAAAAAATATACAAACAGCAAAACATATATGTGCCGTTTATGGAGTGGGTATCGTAGCTGAGAATATTGCTCGTAAGTGGCTCGCTAGGTTCAGAAGTAGAAAGTTTTGCTCTGGAATACCGAGATATTTCGAAAGCAAACACAGTAGTCACGTTGGCACATCGACTGAGGCTTTTAAGTTGAGAATAGTTCGCCATGATCAGAAAGCAACTGTTTCATCAAATGGGTTTTCTGTTCCAGGAAAACCTCTTTTGGAAGCCCCCCCCCCCGCTACATGATTGCCAGAGAAAAGAAGCCCCACAATAGGGAGACCCTCGTGAAAGGGAATTAGTCAGGACGCAGAGATGAAAAAATAGTTAAATATTCTTCTCTTGCTGATAGATTTTTTTTTTTATCCCTGTGGCAGTGGAGACTTCAGGGGTTATTGGCCTTCGTTCGATGGCGTTCCTTCGGAGGATTGGCGCAATTGCGTCTCGATTAAGGGACGAGCCTCGCGAAACGGAGTGGCTCTTGCAGAGTGTCTCACTGGCGATGGTTCGAGGTAATGCTTTCTCCATCATTGCGGCTGGCAGAGGATAGAAAAAAATTGTTTATAGTTACGTTGTTCTGGAATTGTCATCAATGGTCAACTGAACTTGTTTTGTTTCAATTTAAGTTTTTATTTACAACCTTGTCAGTGAGATTAAACAAAGTCCTGAAAAAATCAGCCTGCAGATCGATGAATCAACTGACGTGTCAAACCACAGTCAATTGCTTGTATTTGTACAAACCACAGTCAATTCCTTGTATTTGTAAGCTGATCCAAACTTTCTTTGATCACCATCACATTCTGTGACGAGATTGGAGCGGAACACTGAGTGTTGCTGTACCACACAGAGATACGTTGGCTGAGTCGTGGCAGTGTTTTCACACGTGTAGTGGAACTCCGGGATGAAATTCTCGAATTTCTCAAGCATCAACAATCTCCTCCAGCAAATCATTTTGAAGATGGGTATTTTATTGTTAGCCTGGGTTAATTGGCTGATATTTTCAGTCTTCTCAATGATTTGAACACATCAATGCAGGGAAAGGATGTGGACATCAGTCAAGCCAGGGGAAAAGTTGTCCCATTCACGAGGAAATTACCGATCTGGAGTCGACGTGTTGAAAGCGGAAAACTGGCAAACTTTCCAATCGTTTACAATATCCTTATTGGAGATGTTAAAAACACTATCTGTAGAAATAAGTCAAGATTCATTTGGAAGTTCTAAGTACAAATTTTAAGATATTGATGATCCTAGCATGGATTCGATTTGGATACACAACCCTTTCTCATTTGATATATCGAGAATGAGTGATAACGATTTATCAAAGGATGATTGCATTGAATTCCAAGAGGAGCCAAGAAAGAAAGCTGATTTCGAAAGGGCTGGGATGGATGTCAAGCAGTTTTGGTGTGAACGAATCTCTGCTTACCCAAGTTTGGCAATTAGGTTAATGCATGTTTTGTTTCCATTCACAACTACATATCTCTATGAAACAGGATTCTCTGCATTATTAAATCTGAAATCAAAGTGGAGAAATCGACTTGATGTGTCAGTTGACATGCGAGTGGTTTGTCAGTAACCGTGCCACGATTCCATACTTTGATTGCACAAAAACAACAGCAAGTATCTCACTAGATTAGTAAAAGTCTGTTTTATGGTAGTCGAGATACTAAAAAAAAATTGTACATTTATGTTCTCCTCCTTTTTCTTGTGTAATAAAACTGAATTATAACTTTATTTTGCTTTCAGCAAAAAAAAAAAAAAATATAATAAAGTTATCAATTCTTATATTTTTTTTTCATGTTCTATTCCTAGCAATCCATAGCTAAAGTACAGTAAATTCAAGCGATTGAAATATTTGGAAGACATACTGGCAAATAATAGGATTGGTAATAATTATTTCGACAGTCAAATGAAGGGGTTATGGGACCATATTGGACAATCTATTGTGGGTCTAGAATCATCAAAAGGTTAAGAACCCCTGCTATAGGGCCCAGTCTGCCCTGCTATTCAACCCATAGCTGGTGGGGAAAGCAGAGACGAATTCATACTTATACAACGTTTATTTGCACGTAAGTGAATGTAACGAATTCGACTGAGATTCGAACTCGGCTCTCCGACTTTTCATCACGAGCCACTATCCCTTAATAAAAACAAATGAGAAAAGTCGGAATATATAACTATCAGAGAAATACTTAGGCGTCATCGTCTCGGCACATTCGTGTCTTTTACACTATTATTCGGACTATTGCCCTCATCTTTGTCGCCATATTTATTACAACGTTTCGGTCGTTGTACGCTCCGACCTTCTTCAGGTGGTTGGAATGTCGAACTGAAGCTTTTATTTCTCTCACTGGGGTAGACTGTTCTAGTTCCACGTGCCATGTCTAATGGATGTCAGTTGTCAGTTATCTCCTGTTAATTCCCCTCTCCAAGTTCTCCACCGCCTTAACCAGGTATTGAATTTACACTCTTTGGGTCCTGTCACTGGATCTAACCAACGCCTTTATCTACCGTGCCATGTGTCATTGAAGACATCTGTGTATGTTCACTATTGCCCTTATTGGCTGTCAGTGAAATACTTTGATAGGACTTTGCTTGTGAATTTAAAGCTAACAGTACATATGTCCTTATTTTTACACACACACACTCACACACATTGCGCACAGAAATTATCACATTTATGTATATAGAAAGAAATCCGCTTATTATGATCACACTGAGTCAATGTCAATAATCGACTGATAAGATTAAGAAAAGGATATAAAAATTGGAACAGTTTAAATTCATTGGTGTATTACTAAATTCTTGGTTCTAAACAAATTTATATCTTACTAGTTTTAACCCGTGAAAATTTCATAGTTTTCCTATTTTAAATATCTGATGAATCTTAATTCTTCAGTTAATGATTGAATAAGTTCATGGCTATTTCTACGACAATAAAATATCAGTAGAAATTTCCCTATCGCATCGTTAAATATTTGAACTCAATAATTTTAACAAAATATTGCAAGAACAATCATTAATATGAATGATGGTCGTTACTTTAAGAAGTAAGGGTACAAATGAAAAGATTAGAAATTGAAAGCTTTTTCCATTTCACTGAAACAGACGTTAAACACTTCTGTCTCGCTTCCATTTTCGAGCTTGATTGAATGGATGGCGAAACAGGGTTTGGAGAAGATGGCGGAAAGACAATATATGGTGAAAAGACAATAGTTATTAAGAACTCTAAAAGACAGGAAAACGTGGAATGCCATGATCTCCAACGTCTTGAAGGAACAGGGCACGTAGAAGATGATAGCAGTCAATTTCTTTTGTATATGCAAAGCTATGAACATTACATTTGGTTAGAAAATCCGTCTACGTTCTTAGAATTCTTACAGAAAGTAAAACCTATTCTCAATGGCTTACGAGATCAGATGGTCACTATATCTTTATCACGTATGTACCACACACAAACACGCGTGTATATATATATATATATATATATATATATATATATATATATATATATATATAGATAGATAGATAGATAGATAGATAGATAGATGTTTGGTAGTCACTCCAAAGACGACGCAACTAAACGGTGTAAGATTCACTGTGATAAGTTAGAGTTTTTTTTATGTATGTCTCATATGGCGGTGAATATGTTAATATAAAGGAACGACGCAAAATGAACGACATCAAAGAATACAGAAAGCAAGAATAGAAAAAAGAAAGAAAGAAAGAAAGAAAGAAAGAAGAACAAAGAGAAAAAAAGGAAGAAGTGGAAGGTAAGTAAAGAAAAGAAAGAACGAAAATAAAAAGTAGAGGAAACCAGGAAAGAAAGAAAAGAGCTAAAGAAATGAAAGAAAGGGAGAAAAAGAAAAAAAGTAGGAAAGTAAAGAAAGAAAGAAGCAATGAAAAGAAAGAACCGAAAAATAAAAAAAGAAAGAAAGAAAGAAAGAAAGGAATAAAGAAGGAAGAAGAAAATAAATAAAGAAAGAACTAAGAAAAAAGAAAGAAAGTAACGAAAAGAAAGATAAAAAAAAACAAGAGAGAAGAAAAAAAGAAAGGCAGAAAATAGAAAGTAAGGTAGGAAAGAAAGAAAGAAAGAAAGAAAGAAAGAAGTAAACAAAAACGAAAGAAAAGAATAAGAAAAAAGAAAAAAAGAAAGAGGGAGAAAGAGAAATAAAAGAAAAAGAAAGAACAATGAGAAAAAAGGAAGAAAATATAAAGTAAGAAACGAAAAGAAAGAAAGAAATGAAAAAAAGTAGAGAAAATCGAAAAAGAAAGAGAGAAAAGAGCAAACGAAATGAAAGAAAGATTGGAAAACAAAGAAAGAAAGAAAGAAAGAAAGAAAGAAAGAAAGAAAAAAGAAAAATGAAGAAAGAAGGAAGGAATGAAAAGAAATGAATAAAGAACAAGGACAAAAAGGAAGAAAAAAGAAGTAAAGAAACGAAAAGAAAGAACGAAAACGAAAACGAAAAAATAAGAAAAAAGAAAGAAAGAAAAGAGCGACAGAAATGAAAGAAAGGGAGAAAAAGTACGAAAGGTGGGAAGGTAAAGAAAGAAAGAACAGAAAAATCAATGAAGAAAGAAATAAAGAAAAGGAATGAAGAAAGAAAAGAAAGAAAGAATAAAGAGAAAAAGGAAAAAAACAGAAGGAAAGAAACTAAAAGAAAGAACGAAAACGAAAACTGAAAGAAAGAAAGAAAGAAAGGAAGGTAGAAAAAGAAAGAAAAGAAAGACGCAAGAAAGAAAAGAAAAGGAAAAGAAAAGAAAGAAAGGTAGAAAAAGAAAAGAAAAAGAAAGAAAGAAAGAAAAGAAAAAAAGGAAAAGAAAGAAAGAAAAAAAGAAAAGAGAAAAGAAAGAAAAGAAAGACGCAAGAAAGAAAAGAAAAGAAGGAAAAGAAAGAAAGAAAGAAAGAAAGGTAGAAAAAGAAAGAAAAGAAAGACGCAAGAAAGAAAAGAAAAGAAGGAAAAGAAAGAAAGAAAGAAAGAAAGAAAGGTAGAAAAAGAAAGAAAAGAAAGACGCAAGAAAGAAAAGAAAAGAAGGAAAAGAAAGAAAGAAAGCAGAGCCCAAACACCAGAGGATTGAAACTAAGAGGAAAGAGAGAAAGAAAAGAAAGAGTGGAAGTTTGGGAGAAATAAATTAAGTGTCAGTGCAGTAGAAAAAAATCGAGAAAAGAAAGAAGAAAAAAAAACCTTATACAGCGGAGAGAAAAGAACAAGAAAAAGTTGATGGAAGACAAGAAATTTCTTGTATAAACGTGTGACCGCAAAAGACGATCTGTAGAAACACGACTGACTGAGATAAAAAGAGAAGGACGGTGGGAATAAAGGAAGATGGAGAAAAAAAATCAAATGAAAAAACTGAAACATAATAAAAAAAAAAGTTGGGGGAAAAAACAGTTTATGTAACACATAAGCAGGAGCAAAGGCCATATTTATATATTTATCATGAATGTTATCTATGTTGGTATTTCGGGCAGCATGCCTGGCTAAATTTAGTGCGCATGTGTGGGCGTTCTATATGCGGAAATTGCAATTGTATAGAGAATGTACATTCCACAGCCACGAATTTGGGCTTTCTGTACTTGTTCGTTTTCTTTCTTTCTTTTTTCTTTCTTTCTTTCTTTCTTTCTTTCTTTCTTTCTCATCTTCTTTGTCTTTCTTTTTTGTTCGTTTTCTATTTTCTTTTTTTTTTTTTGCATTTCATTCTACGTTGCTCTCTTTTTTGCTTAAATTAATTTCTATTTATTCTCAATTCTTTTCCAATAAAGTTTTGAGTCATTGTATGTTTCTCTGGTTTTTCTTTCTTTCTTTCTTTCTTTCTTTCTTTCTTTCTTTCTTTCTTTCTTTCTAGTACTTTTTTTTTGCTTTTTATTCTGCGTATATTTATTTTGGTTAAATTAATTTGTATTTTTTCCTCAGTTCTTTTCCAATAAAGTTTTCAAGTCTTTCTGTGTTTCTCTCGCTTCTTTCTTTCTTTTCTGCTGACTTTCTTTCTTTCTTTCTTTCTTTCTTTCTTCAGTGATTCTGTAAAATCTTAATGAATCATTAAAAATCCTTTAAAAATTTAACATTAACGAATGCTGTAAAAACATTGCTTTCTGAAGTGTTTATTTATTTCCCATATTTATTCCAATATAGACTTCAAGTATTTTAAAGTTTTATATTTACTTAAAACAAAAATGATAATTAATTCTTTGTTTGTTTGTTTGTTTGTTTGTTTGTTTGTTTGTTTGTTTCTTTCTTTCTTTCTTTCTTTCTTTCTTCTTAACCATCTATGTCATCAAACTTTCAACGCTTCCCTCACGTTTTCGTCTTATTTTGCATTACTTTTTCTCTCCTCTTTACTTACTTTTTCTTCTTTTTCGTTCATTATCGCCATTCATTACCTTTGTAACTCATTCCCTATAATTTTTCTCTTTCTGTCCCTCTTCTTCTTTACACTTTCTTCTCTTCCTTTTTTTTTCTTTTTCTGAAATTCTTTCCTTATCTTTTCTTTCTTTTTTTTTTTTACTCCTTTCTCTCTCTTTCTCTTTTTTATCTTTTCTTCTTACCTTGCCTTTTTTGGCTTACGGGTATATCACGTTGAAAGACCGTCGAGCCTGGTCAGTACCCAGATGGGTGACAGCTTCGGAATATCGGATGCTGTGGGCGTGGGTGTGCGGGTGGTGTAATGGATAATGGCCCAGAATTAGAAAATGAGAGCCGAGTTTCAATTCCAGTTGGGTTGGTTGTATTCAAATACATTTAGGAAGGATATGAATCCACCTTCGCTCCCTTCCAGCTATCGATTAATTAGTAAAACTTATATCAGCAAATCATTATTATTTCCAAAAATTTTTACAATCTAAAAATATTTTCTGGCTTTAAATACCTTGCAAAAAGTTGAGAAGTCGTAAAAATAAATCAATAAATAAAAAAAAATTGCTTTTTTACATTCTCTTAAATTGTTCTCTTTTATATTTTTCTCTTTCTAATTCTTTCATTTACCTGATTTCATTAGCTTTTCTTCTCTGTCCGTAGCTTTTTTCTTTTCTTACTTATGTTTTTTCTTCTTCTTCTTCTTCTTCTTCTTCTTCTTCTTCTTCTTCTTCTTCTTCTTCGTTATATTTTTCTTTTTTCTTTATGGTTCCATGCATTTTCTAATCTTTTCGTCTCTTTCCTTCTTTTTTTCTTCTCTTTCCTTCCCTTTTGTTCTCTTCCTCTCTACTATCGTATCACCTTGCCTTTCTTATGGTTTATTTGCTTTTGTTATTTTTTCGATTTTCCTACGCTTTCTTCTCTTTTCTCCTCTTTTCTTCTCTTTCTGTAACATCGTTTATTACCACAACATTTGTTTGCTTCGGTTATATTTTCTGTTTCTTTACCTTTTCTTCTCTTTCTTTCTTTTTTCTTCTTCTTCCTTGTCTTTTCTTTTTAACCTGCCATTCCATATCCCCTACTGCCTTTCGATATCTTTTCTATTTCTTTACCTTTTCTTCTCTTTCTTTCTTTCTTTCTTTTTCTTCTTCTTCTTCTTCCTTTCTTTTTTACCCTGCCACCCATATCCCCTACTGCCTTTCGTTATCTTTTCTATTTCTTTACCTTTTCTTCTCTTTCTTTCTTTCTTTCTTTTTTCTTCTTCTTCTTCTTCCTTTCTTTTTACCCTGCCACTCCATATCTCCTACTGCCTTTCGTTATCTTTTCTATTTCTTTACCTTTTCTTCTCTTTCTTTCTTTCTTTCTTTCTTTCTTTCTTTCTTTCTTTCTTTCTTTCTTTTTTCTTCTTCTTCTTCTTCCTTTCTTTTTACCCTGCCACTCCATATCTCCTACTGCCTTTCGTTATCTTTTCTATTTCTTTATCTTTTCTTCTCTTTCTTTCTTTTTTCTTCTCCTTCCTTGTCTTTTCTTTTTAACCTACCACTCCTTATCGCCTATTGCCTTTCGTTATCTTTTCTTTTTCTTTATCTTTTCTTCTCGTTACCCGCTTCGTCTTCTACTTTTCTCTTCACTTATATTTCCTTATATTTTATTCTGTTTATTTACCTTTTCTCCTCTCCATACTTTTCTTATTTTTTCTTTTCCCGATGTTACTTTTCTTCTTTCTTTTTACCTTTTCTTCTCTTTCTTTACTTTTCTTCTTTCCTTTTCAAATATTTTCTTCTCTTTCCTTATCTTTTCTTTTTTCTTTTTTTCTCTTTCCTCCACTTTTCTTCTCTCTCTTTTTTTCCACTTTCTTAATCGTTGACTTTTCTTCCCTTATTTCTACCCCCTCTTACCTGAGCTGATTTTCTTCTTTCTCGTTCTTTACCTTTTGTCATTTCCTTGATTTTTTTTTCTTTTTCTTCACTATCCACCATTTTTCTTCTTTTCATCATTTCTTATTTCTTCGCCTTTCTCCTTCTTCTTCTTCTTCTTCTTCTTCTTCTTCTTCTTCTTCTTCTTCTTCTTTTTATCTCTTTTCTTACCTGTTTTTTTATCTTTCCTTCTTTTTCTCTTTCGTTACTTTTTCTTACTTTTCCTTATATTTTCTTTGTCTTTTCTTAATTTTCCTTTAAAATTTTCTCTTATTTTTATCTTTCTGCCTTTGCCTTACTTTTACTTTATCTTTTCTTCTTTCGTTGATTTTTACTCTCTTTTCTTATCTTTAATTCTTTCTTTTTTCATCTTTCTTTTCCTTTCTTACAGTTTCTTCTCGTTATTTATTTTTTGTTCTCTTTTCTTATTTTTCACTTTTCTTTTATCTTTTTTTCTTTATTTTTTCAAAATATTCCTTGCCTTTTCTTTTTTCCTTCATTTTTTTCATTATTTTTTTTCTTGTTTCTTTCTTGCAAATCTTGTTTGCCTTTTCTTTTTTCCTTCATTTTTCATTATTTTTTTTCTTGTTTCTTTCTTGCAAATCTTTTTTTTTTTTTGCCTTTTCTTTTTTCCTTCATTTTTTCATTATTTTTTTCTTGTTTCTTTCTTGCAAATCTTGTTTGCCTTTTCTTTTTTCCTTCATTTTTTTCATTATTTTTTTCTTGTTTCTTTCTTGCAAATCTTTTTTGCCTTTTCTTTTTTCCTTCATTTATTTCATTATTTTTTTTCTTGTTTCTTTTTCTTGCAAATCTTTTTTGCCTTTTTTTTTTTTCCTTCATTTTTTTCATTATTTTTTTTCTTGTTTCTTTCTTGCAAATCTTGTTTGCCTTTTCTTTTTTCCTTCATTTTTTTCATTATTTTTTTTCTTGTTTCTTTCTTGCAAATCTTGTTTGCCTTTTCTTTTTTCCTTCATTTTTTTCATTATTTTTTTTCTTGTTTCTTTCTTGCAAATCTTTTTTGCCTTTTTCTTTTTTTTTCCTTTTTTTTTCATTTTTTTTTTCTTGTTTCTTTCTTGCAAATCTTGTTTGCCTTTTCTTTTTTCCTTCATTTTTTCTTTCTTTTTTCTTGTTTCTCTCTTGCAAATCTTTTTTGCCTTTTCTTTTTTTCTTCATTTTTTCTTTATTTTTTCTTGTTTTTCTCTTGCACATTTTTCTTGCTTTAATACACTTTCCTTATCTTTTCAACTCCTTCATTATATTTCTTTATCTTTTTTGTCTTTTCTTCTTTACTGGCGCTTCCTTCTTACTTTCCTTCCCTTATCTTTAATACACTTTTCTTATCTTTTCTACTCCTTCATTATATTCCTTTATCTTTACCGCCTTTTCTTCTTTCCTAACGTTTCCTTCTTTATTCTTATCTTTGCTTCTCTTTCTTTCTCTTTCCTTTTCTTCCATTATCTTTAATATCCTTTCCTTATCTTTTCTACTCATTCATTTCATTTCTTTATCTTTTTTTGTCTTTTCTTCTTTACTTATATTTCTTACTCTTTCCTTTACTTTCCTTCTCTTTCCTTGATTTTGATACCCTTTCCATATCTTTACTAAACTTTGGTTGTTCTTTTTAAATCTTTTTTTTCTCTTCTTCACCTTTTCTTTTCCTTTATATCTTCTACTTTTCCTTTATCCCTTTTTTAAAAAAAATCCTTTTTCATTCTTTCTTCCATTTCCTTAATGTATTTCTTCTTTTTAACGCCATAAATAACGTGGGCGATCAAACTAATCACCAACAACAAAAAGCTCAACGATTCTATTAGTCCCATTTACAACAAGAGCCAACCTGTTCTCTCTTTTCGTCTAGGGCTGACATTTAGCAACAAATGATTTTCTCTGTTTTCTGGTGACCAATCACGCACTTCACCCGTGATTTTGAAATTGAATTGATTTATAATGAGTCAGGAGGTTGGAATTTTGGCGATTTTTTTTTTCTAAAAAAAATCAGAGTATTTTCTATTGTTGTTCGTTGTATGAAAATTTGTTTTGTCAACAATAAATGTTGTAATAATAATGATAATAATAATAACGAATATTATATATATATATATATGATATTCATTATATATATATATATGTGTGTGTGTGTCCGTGTTTGTGCATATATACATATGAAATGCATCATCTACTTTTCTGTAATTTAATACTATTACAAGATGTTTGACATATGAAACACTGCCAATCTAAATCTGCGTGTATGAAAGTTTTTTATTATTTTGAATTCAGAATTTAAGAGTTGCTTTAAAAGTTCAAAGGCCTTCTACTAGCTTTACACACACACACACACACACACACACACACATATATATATATATATAGAGAGAGAGAGAGAGAGTAAATATATAGTTATAAGGTATGCTATATTTATGCTCAATATCAGGAATAGAGTGTATGCAAATATGAAAATGGACATTGAGGACAACACCCAGCGGTGTAAGTCTTTTTCATGCTTAAACACAATCTTCATTCCCTAAAGATTTTTTTCCAAGCACCTTCCAGGCCAATCCTCTCCATCTAACAATTGTGGTTCATGGGGGCACTCAAGATAGAACAGTTCAATGATTTTCGAGTTCTTTTGCAGCGGGGATGTTGAGGTTACCTCGTCCTTCCCCTCGGAAGTTAAAGAGGCAAGATCTACAAGGCAGCAGGTGGTTGGAATTCAAGGTTTTCCTTCTCCTGGGTTGGTTGCCAACCAAGATCGTTCTGTCCTGTTATTTACTTTCATAGCATTTTTTGCTTTTTTGAGGGTTCACTATTTGTCCATAGTTGGGATCTTAACAGGTGCTAACTCCACGGGTCAGTGTGGACCTGGTAACAACAGCAATTAAGAAGAGGTTTCATGTACCTCAAAACCAAGAATATCCTGATCAAAAGGCTTTGCTGCCGAATGCAGTTTATCGTCATACCGACGACAACATTCTGTTTGCTTCTTCGTTTTAGTTAACATGTACGTTACGCTTTATCAATACCCCATAATTAATGGACTATTCCATTTTGATCCCGAGTAAAATCGTGAAAGAAGCCGGATGGTTTCGGTTAGAATTAGGTAGAAAGAAAGAAAGAAAGAAAGAAAGAAAGAAAGAAAGAAAGAAAGAAAGGAAAAATGGAAAATGGTGTACATATTTAAAGAAAATATCGATTTTTACGTCTTTAAATAATGATCTGTAGTCCTGTCTATGACGATAAACTATATTCGGCAGCAAGACCTCTGATCGGGAGGTTGGAGAATTTGAGGAGCGTTGAACCATGTCTTAATTGCCATTGTTCCTATGTCCATCCTAACCCGGGGTGGTAGCACCTGTTAGGGTTCCAGCTATGGGCAAATACTGAACCCCCAAACAAAAACAAAACATTATGAAAGCATTAAAATACATTTGTATAATAAATATACCAGCAATACATTTTATATAAAGATTACCAACAATATAGTAAAATTATAGTAAAATTATCAACACTACCTATTTATAGTTAAATTAACAATGCGTTTTTAAAGGAAAATGACTAACAATTCATTTTATAGTAAATATAGTTGGATTACCAACAATACATTTTATAGCAAAATGACTAACAATACATTTTATAGTAAATATTACCAACAATACATTTTTAAAACAAAATGACTAGCAATACATTTTATCTGTAGTTGAAGGCATACAATTGTGTTAAAAAATATTTAGTTGAAACCACAAAATTGTGTTCAAATATTTACATTTCGGCAATAAATAACCCATAGAGGTGTTGATATGCCGCTAAACAAAATCAACCAAATAATGACCATTATTCATACTTATGATTGTTATTGTCATATTTTGTTAAAGTTCATTATTTACATTATCGGACTATTGTCCTCATCTTTGTCGCCATATTTATTACAACGTTTCGGCCGTTGTACGCTCCGGCCTTCTTCAGGTGGTTGGAATGTCGAACTGAACCCTTTATTTCGCTCACTGGGGTAGACTGTTCTAGTTCCACGTACCATGTTTAATGGATGTCAGTTATCTCCTGTTAATTTTCCCTCTTTGGGTTCTGTCCCTGGATCTAACCAACGCCTTTATCAACTGTGCCCTGTGTCCTTGAGGACACATGGCAGAGTTAAAGTTGTTACCTTCAAATATTTAGCGATGCAAACAGGGTATTTCCACGGGTATTTTGTAGTTGTGGAACACGCAATGAGCTCATCTATTATTTATCTTTTGACAAAAAAAAGCGGTGATGCGATCTACGGCGTGATAGTATGAAAAAAAATCCCCTAAATTTGAGAAAAGGTTCAGTCCTTCATTCTGATGTGAACACGGCTTCAATCTACTCTCTGCTGATAGTAAGCTGAAAAAAATATTCTTTTGAGTGAGAGGCAAGTCCTTCTATTCGTTCTGTCATCGGCCTAAGGACAGACAAATGCAACAAAAAACACCATACTAATTCGATGATATACGTAAATGTAAGGTTTAAACTATTGCTTCTCAACCGGGGTCCATGTTGATCCAGGGGTTCCATAAGGATCCAGGGTGTTCATAAGGATTCCGGGGGTCCATGTAACATTACTGTGGCTCCACACCAAAAAATAGAAA